TCTGGTAAGAGAGAAAAGGGGTTTCAATCGAAGGACATGAAGAGGAGTTATAGTGAGAGAGAGAATGGGGTGGTTCGGTCAATCGAGAGGGACAGTTATTGTGAGAGAAAAAATGGAATGAGATTAATTACGAGGGAGAATTCTGATGAGAGAGAAAATGGGGTGAGATTGATTGAGTTGTAGAGTTCTGATGAGAGAGAAAACAGGGTTGGCCGTGCTGATGAGAAAACAAATTGGATTCAGTCTATTAAGGGGAAAGAGCGGTGATTATGATAGGGACAATACGGCTGAGCTGACTACGAAGAAGAAGAAGGACGAAGGGATGGAAGGAAGAGGCAAAATCGGGTCCAATAATGAGAAATCAGACTATCGTAAAGACGGTAAATCAAAGCGAGAGGTGAGTTTAGATTATCGTACAGATGGTAAATCGAAGATACAGGTGAGTTTAGTAGTGAGTTTGGCTGTCCCAGCTATTTTACCTGTGTAGTTAGTGACTTTTTAGTTTTTTCCATGGAAAATTGGATTTGCTTTTATGTTATTTATTGTTCAAAACTTTGAATTTACACTGTGGAAGCTTGAGAATCTTTAGATGATCACAGTTTTGCATGATTGAGCATTGCTGTTTTTGGATGTAGCCACTCAAATTGGATAACTCCTAAATCTTAAATGAAATATTCAATTCTATCAAATTTTATTCAAATGGGAGACTAAGTGCTCGTAATTAACTGCACCGAGGGTTGCTGCACTGCTTCTTCACGATTTCGATTTTTTCTTCCATTCATTGTATGTACTGAGCCTTCTGAGGCATACCAGGACCTCGCTCTGATACCAAATGATACAGTCTTGGACTGTATCAGAATCTCTTGCCCATTCTGCTTATTTTCGCCTTCTGAGCTTTGAATTTCTTGGGCAGCATATGAATGATAACAAATATCATGATCATTTCTTGTTTAATTATAAAATATGTTGATTGTGTAATTTATTTGTTTATTAATTTTATTCTGATTTGGATGGTGCTTTTTCTTATTTCCTATTGGTGATGCGGTGAAATGCTGAGCAAAATTGCGTTTTATTTGCAGTTTCATGATTGTCTATGGAGTGAAAATTATAAAGTAGTTGCATTCATAAACTACAAAACAAAAGTAGATGCATTAGTGTGAAAAGAAAAGCTTAGGAACATGGCCAAAAATGGAAAAGGAGGTTCTATCTGCGACCTTATAACTCAAAACCATCTGTTTGAGGTTTGGGGTTTCTTTTTAGGGGTGTAAGAAAGAAAATTTGATATTTTATAGGAAATGATTAAATTATCAAATGACCAAAATGGACAAAAAGAAAAAAGAGGAGCGATTTAGGGCATAGCTTAGAAATAAAGCATAGATTAGATTAGAGGAAGAGTTCTGATGAAAGAGAAAATGGGGTTGGGAGGAAGAAGATTTCTGATGAGAGAGGAAATAAACTTGAGGGGGAGAAGAGTTATGATGAGAGAGAGAAAGGGGTTGGGATGAAGAAGAGTCATGATGAGAGAGAAAGTGGGGTTAGATGGAAGAAAGTTCCGATGAGAAAGAAATTATTCCGATGAGAAAGAAATTAAGGTTGGGAGGAAGAAGAGTTGTGGTAGAGAAAATTGTAGTCAAGAAGAGTAAAGAGTTCTTATGGGAGAGAAAATGGGTTAATCCAAGAGGAAAAGGTTGTAGATGTGTGGATAAGGTAAGCGGAAGAGAATACCTATAATAGAAAATCAGATTGTGGTAAAGATGGTGAATTCAAGCGAGAGGTGGGCTAAATAGTGACTTTGGCTTTTCATTGCAGTTTACCTGAATAAGTAAGCGGGGTTTTATTGTATGAAAGGCTGTGATCTTTGTTTGGTTTTGAATTTGTTCAATGTGTTGGCAAGGTTCAAGGTTTGGTAGTTTTGTGTGATTCTGCATCAGGGTTTCTGGAACATTTTAAGGAAAGGAAATCAAAGCAAGCGATTGGTTTCTCATTGCGTTGTGGATATAATTTCTCACTGATTAATCATTTATGAGTCTTATTTTGCTTCATCTCCTTTTTGATCTGCTCATTGTGTTTTCCAGAGCTTGGAATTTTATGGTAGTATAAGAATATTATTGTCTTGTCTTGAAAATTTTGTTGTTTGAACTTTAAGGATAATGCATGGTGCTTATGCAATTTATTCTTATTTCTTGTTGTGCTTTCTAGAACTTGGAATTTTATGGTAGTATACAAATATCATTGGCTTGTCTTTTCAATTTGCTCTTTATCTTTCTTACTTCATGATGGCCAGGCCAATAATTCTCGGCTTTATTACTTTCTTATAATAACATGGAGTTCAAGCTTCGTAAGAAGTTGCATTTGCAATTGTCTTTTTTTTTTTTTGATAATGTTGCATTTGCAATTGTCAAAGAAAAGTAGTTGCTTTTATTCGAAGTTCTTCATTTAACTTATTTGGGCAGGCATATCTCAATATTCCTCTGTTCTGTGGGTTCTTGCCAGTAAAATGGTACCTCTTGCATATGAAGCTCATTGTTCCATGATTTGTTTGAAGCTCATTTTTTCAAGAGCAGTGTATATAACTCATTTTTCTTTCCCATGTTCATCTTTTTCTCTTTGAAAGTTGTTCTCCACATTCACTTAATATGCTTTGAATGTGTGAATCAATTTCAGTTATCAGTTTTGAAGTTTGCATAAAGAGTAAAATAATTAAAAAAGTTAATCAAAATGATAGTAATATACAATGGAATTAATTGGTTCAAGGCTTAAGGCAATCACACACACACCGGCACACATTTATACATATACAAGGGAATGATCTCATGCAACTTTTCTATAGCAATATAATGAAACGATCTTCAAAAACCATGTTAGAGCCATTTGTTTGACCCCAATTTTTAAATATATATTCTTTTTTATTATAATGAACAATCACAAAAAAGTAAAATTTGAAAACACACCCTAGAAAGTGTTTTTTTAGCCCAATCAACATAAGCCGTCCATTTTAGTGAGATTCTTAGATCTAAGCTTTGGAAGTATTTTCCACCTTCAAAATATTTTAGATGCCTTTATTATCATTGGATGAACACTATTAAAAAGGAAAAAAATGATTTTGAGTTCGTAAAGGCTTAGATCTTGAAATTCACTAAATGAATGGTCTAGATTCATTGTTGGAGGGGGGCTCATTTTGACCATATCTAATTTGCAAATTGAATTTTATTTTTTTGAGAATTGATTATTAGGATAAATAGAGGGTGTGTGCAATTATTAGTGTCATACAAATGCCACAAACATGGTTTTTTGGAAGTGTGATTTCATTATATTTCAGTGACATGGTGACATGAAATTACTCCCCTTATAAGATTATTCACTTCGGTACAAGGAGGTCACAATCACTATTAGCCATTGATGTGAAATTAGACAAATTGAAGTGGGGCACAACATTTGAGAAAATTTATTATTGATTTTGTGCCTAATCACTAACATATCTTCAACTGTCCGATTTCACATCTAATGGTTGATAATGATTGTGACCTTCTTATACCAAAATAAATGGTCTTACTGCAGAGATTCCCTATTGTGTTTACTTTAGCGAACGTCCAACGATTGTGATCGAAACATGATGATCTGATGTCCCATGTTGTGTGACGTTTTTTTATTTTTTTCTATGAGTTGAATTACATTAAATGTTGTGAAACCTAAAAATCACCGAACTACCCCTAGAAAAAAGCTGGGGCAGTTTGGTCATTTTCACTAATCATTTTTCTTTTCTTTTTTGTATTTTATTTGGATGCATCTTGATGAAATTTGTAAACACCCATTTTTTTATCCATCTGATTTCTATAAAAAATTAGAAATAAAATTCGATCGCAAAATACAGGGCGTCGATCAGCCCAAATTCAATCTAGAATATTGGGCATTTAGGAAAGCTATATATATATATGTATGTATGTATATCTGTATGCATGTATGGGTGAGGTTTGTATAAGGTACCCACCTTATACTATATAAGTAAGGTGTACCTCTAAATTTTGTTGGAAGATTTAATTCCCGCATCAAAGACTTTATGATGGCTTGAAAATCTATATTCAACCCTAGTTATGAAATTTAAAATTTTAAAAAATAGTGCAGATCGAGCATATCGTTAAACACTTGAAAATCTTGAAAATAGACGGTCTAGATAACTTGTTACGAGATGCACAATTTTTAGGACTTGAAATTCTTTTTTTCTTTATATCCATAAATCTCGAGGTCGAGATGACCAATTGGAAGGTTTTCCAATTTTGGAATACTCATTTTAATGGATTTTTGCGGTGCACCTTACTTCTATAACTTAAGGTTGCAACCTTACATAAACCTCTCGCATTTTTCTCTCTCTCTCTCTCTCTTATTTTGATAGGGCTGCAGCCTTATCAAAATAAGTAAAGCCTCACTTCAAAGCTCACCGCAAATTGTAGTTCTGGCATCGGAAAACCTTCAAATCGATCATCTCGGTCTTGACCATTATGGTTGTGATAAAAAATTAGGATTTCAAGCCCTAAAAATAGTGTATATTGTAACACATTATCTGGTCCGTCCATTTTGCCCTAAAATAAGTGTTCACTGGTACGCAAGATCTGTACCATATTTTTGAGCTTCAAAATTTCTAGTCGGTGTTGCAAATTGATTTTTAGAGCCATCATCGAGATTTTCGATGCCCAAAGTGCTTTTTTGGATGAGGATTCTAGGTGAGGACTTTATTTTGTTTTCATAAAGCCTAGGCCTTATAGAAAATACATACACACACACACATACACACACACACACACACATATATATATATTTTCACATTCATCATCAAAGTCTTCTTCCAACTATTTAGGATCGGCTACACGAATCCTGGTCTGCCATTTTGCTATGCCAAGGGCCATATGAGGGCATAAGCCCCCATATCTTTTCTCACTGAGGGTATGGCCCTTATGGCCTCATTGAAGGTATGACCTTTAATAGAGCAGAATGGCGGACTATGATTCGTGTAGCCAACCCCAATTAGTTGGGAAAAGGCTTTGATGGTGACGATATATATGTGTGTGTGTGTGTGCGCGCGCGCGCTGCTATGTATGACTTGAGGTAATGCTTTTATAATTCTTAATAAAATAGTTGCACTTGAGAATGAGAACACATTAATATGATATAACTTTTTGTAAAGAACTAAGGCTAAAACATAATGATGATTATATAGGTTTACAATCTATAAATTTATAAAACCACACAGTTATGATGGCATATGTTGGGTTATTCATGTCACTTTTTTTTTTTTTACTTGTTCATGCTACTATTGAAGTTTTGCTATTACATTTATTACATCAGATGTTTGACACATATTGATGATTAGAGATTTGTACACTGGAGAAACAAAAAAATAGTAATGCAAACATAATATTGGACAACTGGGATAATATTTTCTGGGGGTGGTTGGGGGGGGGGGGGGTTTGTTGTTTTTGGGAATGGGCTTCCTCTAACTAGTCCTGTCATATATTATAAATAAATTAGTGAGGGATGCAATCTTCCTGTGATACATTCTTGGCATGTGCTGACCAAGTAAACAATATGGGTGTATGTTCCATAAAAATTACCATACGAGTTCAAATCCTGCAAATCATCTTTAGCCCAAAGTTTCCTAATTTCCTTGTTTCATCCCCTATTGTGCTTTTCTGTAGACATTACATATTTGTGGTTGCCATTTATTATCAATTGTTTTTTCTCATTCAAGTGACATTTACTATCTATTGTTGAACTAATGAAGTTTTTAAATGCTGTGAACTCTGTTTTTAGGATGTTGCTAGTAATAGTAAGGAACTCAAAAAGCAAGGGTGCCACCAGTGTCAACGGAGAGAACATGATGGCATAGTTATTTGTTCAAAATGTGGGAAGAAGCGCTATTGTTCCACATACATTAGCAGATGGTAAATAAATCTAATGTATGAAAAGACTCGATGGGACTGAGCACTGGTCTTGAATGGTTAGGGCGTTAACATGGCAACGCCACATCCCTGGTTTTATTCCCATCCGACTGCCTCATACCAAGAAAGCCAAGACTCTTATGTGAATCTCTGTGCAGTGATCGATATTGTGATCGGAGAAGAAACATACATGATAAAAAGGGCTTTTTATTTTCTTTTTTTGGTCGGGGGTGGGTACACTGGTTATTCTATTCATTTACTTTTAATCATAGATGCTTTATTGGGGTTGCTAATTTCTCTGGGGAACTTCTTGGGTTCTTTTATTTAATTTAGAGGGATTTATTTTAATTTTTATTTTTGGTAATGGGTTTAAGCTTGGTGATCAAAGTTCTCATGCCTTTGCTTTCTATGTTCCTTGTTTTTTCTTCACAATTTATCCCTCTTTCTCGTATGTGAACATATACATAAAAATATTTATTTCTGTGGAGCATTTTCTTAGAGACTGCCTGGCTTGGTTTCCTTTTAGGCCAGTGGGAAGGACATAGAAGCCAGTGTCAAACAAGTGATGTCCTTGTTGCATCAGGTTCTTCCTATTGCTGAAAATATTCATGCTGAACAGAATTTGGGAAGCGAGGTGGAATGCAGGCTAGGGGGTTAGTCAATATTGGCCTGACCATTCTAGATGTGCTTATGTTTGTTTTCTTGTCTATTAATTTTTCATTCGATTCCACTATCTGGAGTTTATGCATACCCTTCAGTTCTTATTGGTGCTTCAATTCTTAGGAGTTCGGCGAGCTGATCTGTACGAAGAAAAGTCAGAGCTGAACTCTGACGGACATTTATATTGGTATTTCAACTCTTACTTTGGATATCCTGTCCATATATGTCAGTGGACATGGAAGAGTGTGTGACTTAATGGAAGTTTCTATTGGATTGAAATCCGTATTCAAAAAAAAGTTTCTATTGGATTGAAAATGTCATCAGATTTTATCTAGATGCTGAATTTGGGTTTAGTTGAGTGGAATGTAGTTTTCATCACTTCTTTTTCTTTTATCAGTTGCCTGATAATATCATTTTAAAAGAAGCAACAGGAGACATTTTCGTGACGAAAGTTCCATGTAAACCTTATTTGGATATCCGAAACTTTTTACCTTGTCCTAAACTGTTTAATTGTTTAGTCATGTATATATATATATATATATATAATAAATAAAATGATCTCTCCCCCCCCCCACAACCTCAAAAACCATATTGAAGATGTGCGAGGGACCAATAATACTCCAATACCCATATTTCAACTCTTATTTTGGAAATCCTGTGCATATATGTCAGTGGTCATGGAATAGTGAGTGACTTAATGGATATTGGATTGAAATGTCATCAGATTTTATCTAGATGCTGAATTTGGGTTTAGTTGAGTGGACTGTAGTTTGCATGACTTCTTTTTCTTTTATCAGTTGCCTGATAATATATAAAATGATCTTCGCCCCCCCCCCCCAACATCAAAAACATATTGAAGGTGTGTGAGTGACCAATAAAACTCCAATAGCCTCCGAATCATTCTCCTCTAAATAATATTTGATTTGGAGGTCCCTAAACTCTCTAAATTCCCTACATCATAAATTCGGTCATTCAAATGGACAGTCTAGACTCAGTTTGGGGTGACGGTGTATTTGGAGCATTTTGAGATCTCTAATTGAATTTTTTTCAATAGACTGTTTATCTGTGGTTTATTTGGGAACTTTTTTGGTCACTCTTATGGCTTGGAAATGGTTTCTGAGGTGGGGGGAACATCAATGGGCGTGCTCTAGGGGGTGGTGGTGGCACACAATAATTTCCCATGTGTTTGTTCATTCTGTATATGATATTCAAACCTTGATTTTTAATTCATACTCAGCTGTAGTATTTGTATGGTTTTCCTTGCATGGCAGCCACAATTGCCCCCACCCCAAAGGCAGTGAGGCCAAAACTGCTGACCACCAGACGACAAAAGGACCCAGGTTCAAGTTTCGAAAGATTGTTCTCAGGATGGGAATGAGCAAACATGCATGGCTGGAAGCAGAGTTGGTTTGGATAGCCGAGTTTTGTTTGCTGACAGACGTATTTGGGTGGATCCATCCTGCTCTTTTCCTGCAAACAAAGATGGTATGATACCTCGCCCACTAAAAGAGCAAGGAAATTGTGGGCCCCGCATACTCATGGTAAAGCATGACCTAAAAACAAATATGGTTGTCGAGTTGCTTAGCAATGCCCAGGAACTCATCCATAGCAATGATCAGTTGATCAAGGATGCCGGGTTTTCTCAAAAATGCCCTCGATGCCATCCTTCCAATAATTGGTCAGAAATTAACATCAACAATGGCTTCTAAGCTCATGGAGAAGGTGATTGCTTGGAGTATTGCAAGGTTAGCCTTCTAATTTGTGCCTTAATTTGCATTGGAGAATAATTAGGGTTTTTTTTTTTTCATTGCTTACTGCCAACTACAAATTATTAAGGGTTGGTTTTTATTGAGCATTGCATGTTTAATATAAGATGATCTACACAATAATTCTAAACTTAAGGCATATGATGATCTATACAATATATTGGGGACAAGAGAAGGCGAAAAAGATGTCTTCAAACTAGCAAAAAAGAGAGAAAGAAGTATAGGGATCTAAATCAGATTAAATGCATTAAGAATGAGGATTAGAGGGTGTTGGTGAACGATGACGAGGTTAACAAAAGGTGGCAAATTTATTTTAAATTTATTTTAAATGGCAAACACTTTGAGAGCACAGTATTAGGAGAAACATTTGACATAAAAGAGCTTGGAGGTTATAGATACATTGGCAAGATTAGGATATTTCAAGTGACAGAAGCTTTGAGAAGGATGAAGATAGGAAATGCTTTAGAACCAGATGGTATCCCGATAGAAGTTTGGAAGTGCATGGGAGAAATTAGCATTTTCTGGTTGACCAAGCTGCTCAACAAGATGTTGAGAACAAAGAAAATGCTAGACGTATGGAGAAAAAATATTGTGGTACCTTTTTACAAAGACAAAAGAGACATACAAAACTGTATGAACTATTGAGGGATCAAAATTATGAGTCACACTATGAAGCTGTGGAAGAGAGTGATTGAGCAACGACAAAGACATGAAATGAGTGTTTTACAAAATCAGTTCAGCTTTATGCCAGGGAGGTCAACAATAAGGCTATTTTTTTATTTAGGCAAATGATTGAGAAGTTTTGGGGGAAGGGAAGAGATCTCTATATGGTCTTTATTGATTTAGAGAAAGTATACGATAGGGTACTTAGAGAGTTAATTTGGTGGGTGTTGGAAAAGAAATGAGTCGATGTGGTGAGAGATATGTATGAGGAAGCGTTAACCAGTGGGAGGATAATTGGTAGAGAGAAACCGTTAATATTCTCAAAAAAAAAAAAAAGTGGAGAGGTTAACGTTGAGCCGATATCTCTTTGTATGATACCTCTGCCTCTACTCGCATCAATATATAGTTTTGATTGATGGGAGTAGAGGTAGAGTCAATGCATAGTTAGAACTTTGGAGGGAGCTCTAAAAGCTAAAGGTTTTAAAATTAGCTGGACTAAGACAAAATATATGGAATGCAAGTTTAAGAAAAATAGAAGTAGAAACGAGGAAGTAGTTAAGATTGATGGCCAATAAATAACTAAAACATATTTTTTTTCTAAATCTTGGGTCGATAATCCAAGAGAATGGACAGATTGGGGAAGATGTTGCGCATAGAATTAGAGCTGGGTAGGCGAAGTGGAGATGTACATCCGCAGTTTTATGTGATCGTTGCATATCAATGAAACTAAAAGGCAAGTTTTATAGGACAACTATAAGACCAGCTATACTTTATGGGATGTAATGTTGGGCGGTCATGAAACAACATAGCCACAAGATGAGTGTAGCTGAGATGAGGATGTTGAGATGGATGAGTGGCATGATAAAAAAGATAGAATTCAGAATGAATACATAAAATGGTACTTAGGATTGGCTCCAATAGGCGATATGATGAGGAAAAATAGACTTGGGTGGACTAGCCATATGTAACGTAGACCTAATACAACACCTAGGAGGGGTGATTTGGATCAAGTGGAAGACTCTAAAAGGGCAAAGGGAATGCACAAAAGGACATGGATGAAAGTAGTGAGAAGAGATATGGTGACTTATGGTCTGACTGATGGTATGACCTTTACTAAAGCAAAATGGCTGAACATGATTCATGTTGCCGATCCCAAGTAATTGGCATAATGTTTAGATAATGATGATGATGATGTTTAACATAAGATCTATTAGTGATCGAGAATTTACTGATGATGTGAACTTGAAGACATGGTAATGTTGTTGTATTTTGCTAACACGCAAGAATGCCATTTAAGTTGTTAGCTGAGTTCAATAACAAGTTATGAGGATTGTTCTAGAAGTCGTCTGGACTTAAAAAGATATAAAACGTCTCTAGGGGTATCATCGACACAGATGTTCAAACATGACATTTGCTTGGTGAGGAAAACACTTTGCATTTACAATGGCTTCCAATTGGGGCCGGAGATAAAAAAAAAAGAAAGTTGAATTTGGACAGATGTCCTACTAAAATGTGTTACTATGTTTTTCTGAATTACAAAATGGGGAAGCCCTTGAAATTTGAAAATCTTGTCTATTTCATGAAAAATAACTGATATTTAAAAAATATTTATTTAAATATTCGAAGTAGGGTCTTTTGAATGGATTATTTGAAGTAAAGAAGGCTATGATTTCAAGGTTAACTTCTAAACCAAAGTACCTATGAGGGTTTAGCTCTGATACAATGGCACTCTATGGATGGCATCTTGAGCTAGGTTAGAGATTGTTGTTTCAATTAGGACACTGGTCGATGCATTCTCCCGTAATTTTACAACACGATGGAAATATAAGAGTGCTGTAGAAAACCATGTATTAGAAAAGTTGACGTAGCTTAGCGATTGGCTTAGAATCCATCCAAATGTAGTTGTTTAGGTAACATCATGTTTTGGATATATGCATCACATTTCCACTGATCAGCAATTTCCCCTGGTGCAGTACTAGAAGGTGTAGGCATTGTGTACAATAGATTTAGCAGTAAGTCAGTAACAAGATATATAGCCAGATGGGACTTAAATGAATTGCCCACAGGTGAAATGCATGATAAGATACTCCACAGGGCAGAAGGCCTTGTAGCCCATTGCATGGCGCGACAATCCCTACTCTAATGCTTTGTCTGCACACATATATTATGTATGCAATTTCTTCCTGGGTATTACTAAGTACTTGTTAACCTTAGTTTCCAACCATTAAAGTATTAAATTTTAATTTTTGATAGTGCTGATAATAAAAGATCAGTAGTTCATATTTGATCTTTTTAACCTGTCTTCTCCCAAATCTGAAAATGTTGAATGGAATATCTTTTATATTTCCACGGTGAAGAGATAGTGTTCAATTATGGCCAACTGGTTTGTTATTTCTAATTCTTTCTATGGAATATCTATTCAGTGTCCATATTAAGGAGTTCTATCTTCTACTACCCGTTGCTCCTTGATAATGTATTTCAGCTGTTTATCTTCATAAAATTTCTTATGGGTGCAGAAGCTGGAGGAAAATTTACAGTACTTGGGACTACAAATTAAACATTATCAAGACCACTGTGCATTTCTCAAGGATCAATCAGACATGTAAGATAACTCAATTCTTCAATTGCAAGGTTCGTACACTGCTTCCTGTAGGATTATCTCGCTTCAGCCATTTTTATTTGTTTTGCTTAGATCAACTGTGTGCTGGGGTACATTTGATGGAATTCTCTTCAAGGTTCTCAGAAGCACAAGTATACATATAGCCAGAGTTCAAAATTGCAGATGGTTGAAAGCTGAAACTCGGATTTCATATAAGGCTCTTTCGTCAACCAAAGTAGTCATATTTATTTTAATTTGATATCATCATCATCATAGCCTTTTCCAAATTTATTTTAATTTGATATATTAAGGTAAAAAATGAGACTTAGCCAATACATGCTACATTTCATACAGATTTCAGATACTTGTATTGTTTAACAAAATAATAGGTCAAATAGTAGTAGTTTTAAACCTGAATTTTGTATGATCTAAATTCAATAATAAATGTAGGTGTCTATGCTGTATTAAAATTTGTTGAGCCAGATCTGAAAGCTAAAGTTTGTTGAAATATTACTACGAGTTAATCCATGATTTGCTCATACAATAATCCCTTAAAAATTAATTAGATGATTATGACAATCTTAGTTTTATGACAGCTGCTTTGCTTTTTAACCAATTGGAAAGCCATTGATGCAGGTAGACTTGAAAAGCGCTATCCTCCTGATGCAGCCAAGGGCAAGAGTCATACATAGTGGTCTCAACAAAAAGGCTGAGGCGAATACATACGAGCAGATACAAAGGCAAGAAAAAGCAGTAGGAGTATTATCCAAGTTGAAATACATGGGTGCATTTCCAAATTCTGTAACTGCAGATGTGCTTGGTATAGTCGCAACGCTCGGGAATTTATGCAATGACAACCTTAGCAGGTTAGAAGTGATGGGTGCTGCATTCCATGTGATCTCCTTTGCCTTTCTCTTTCATGGAAAACCATACTGTAGTCCAATGAACTATGGAAGACTATAGTCCACGGGGCTCATCATGGTGCAATCAAATGTGGATGGTGATGGGGAGAGAGTGGGGTGACCACCATTAGGATCACCAGCCATGAACTGTTCTAGTGGATCCCCTATCCATTACTGTCCATTATGTGATTGTAAAGTGATGACCCCAGCAGACTCTCTTGCAGTATAGAATGTTTATTTTTTTTGTTTTTGGTGGCTTAATTATCATCTCCTTATATTTTTATCCAGGCTTTTTGCAGAATATCTTGGAATTGAAACCATGCTTGCTATTGTATGTAAGACATATGATGGTGTCAATGCTCTTAAAAAGTATAACAATGACGGCATGATCGACCAGGCAATTGGAATTCATGGACATGGGATTTCTAAGGCTAGACCCACTAATGGCAGGTTTTATGTCATTTGTCTTGAGGATCTAAGGCAAGTTGTTACTGTAAAGTTATTTGCTGCTTTTCATTTCATGTCCTACAGTTTAAAGTGGTAATAGAGACATAACTTTGCTTCAGAATTGTTTAGACAGTATCCGAGAGCTAAATGGTTTTCTGACCAGAGATTTACTTGGATATTTGCTAAAAGCTATTATAAAAAAGAACACCATTTGATGTTCCACCAACTCCTTAGCTGTAAATGTAGCATAAGGACTTGTGTCAGGACTTGCCAGCATATCAATTCCAAGTCGGGGTCAAGTCTGTCAGAGACTTGGCCAAGTCAGTACAAAAATTAAATAAAATATTGGGAACTGGCCAGACTCTGCGTGGTCCCATATGTTTGGTTCTGGGCTAGGCAGGGTGCTTAGCCTGACTGAATCGGATGTGTCCATGTGGATGCACCTGAGTTTTCCTGCTGTAATGTAGACATTCAACAACTCCACCATATGGATCGTTCACAATATGTATCATCTAATTTATTGGACAGACCATACCAAGGAGGCACAAGAGCTGGGGACTCGCAAAAGAAGCTTGATTTGGTGGAGCCCAGACTCCCCACTGGGGATTACCCACCTGGCTTTCTAGGCTTTGCAGTCAATATGATCAGCATTCAGAGTAAGAATTTATCTCGTGTCACTGCAAATGGACATAACCTGAGAGAAACGCTGTTCTATAGTCTCTTTTCTCGATCGCAAGTGTATCGAACCAGGAGTGAGATGCAATCGGCCATTCCTTGCATAAGTGAAGGTGCCATTTCTTTAGACGGTGGAATGATGAAAAGCAATGGCATCTTTATCCTTGGTGCCACGTAAGTATATGCGTAATTAACATTTCATAAGAAAGTATACACCTGTTTGTAGCATCAGTACCTGTGTTCCATGTTTCCATTATCACTGAAGTTGTTATTATTTAATCGACATATTTGCTGATGGATAGTTAAATATATTATGTATGTATATTTATTTCCATTTTTTCAAAAAAACTTTTATATATAAGAATGTGGAGGCAGCATAGTTATTTGAAACTTGATGATTGCCTCATTTCACGTTCATTTCATTCTATGAGCAACTTGTCAGGCTTACGAAGCTTTGCTTCTTGTGGTTTTACTTTGTAGTCAACCCTTAATAATTTGAAATCATCATTCTGGTTTGGCAAAAATCCTGCATCTTTTCAATTCTAGGGCGGTTAGTATACTTTATATTCATAATAGAAGTTTAAGGTACAAAACTGCCCGTGAAGTATGGGAAAGACAAATAAGTCCTTAGGGATTAAATACAAACTTAATTATTCACAACACTCCCCCTCAAGTTGGTGCATAGATGTGTATGATGCTTAGCTTGCTTAAAATCATTTGTAGTGGAGGTTTCCCAACAGCCTCGGTAAGAATGTCTCTTGGCTGGTTTTCTCTTTTAACATATGAAAGACAAATTTCCTTGGTAGCGACCCTTTCTCAAATAAAACGCCAATCTACTTCTATGTACTTCGTTCATGCTAACCGGATCATGAACTATACTAATTGCTGCCTTGTTATCATAGTACAAGGACATTGACCCTTTTATAAAAAAACTGAAGTTCTTGCAAAAGGATTTTTAGCTAGAGTTATTCACATGTACCATGAGCCATGGATCTATACTCAGCTTCTGCACTTGTCTTGCTGCAATTGACTGCTTTTTGCTCCTCCAAGTTACAAGGTTCCCTCCAACAAATGTATATTTCCCGGATATTAATTTTCAATCCATAATAGAACAACCCAGTTTGCATCTGTATAGGCTTCAACTCGTAAGTGCCCATGATTAGCAAGCATCAGTCCTCTCCCTGGTGATGATTTTAGATACCTGAAACTCTGACAATAGCCTCAAAGTGAGTAGTTCATGGAGAATGCATAAATTGATTAATCACGCTCATAATGTGTGACAACATCTTGACTTGTAAGTGAAATGTATATTAGTCGACTCACTAATCTTTGAAACATAACTGCATCCTTGATAGCTTCACCCCTTTGGTCATGAAGCTTGTGATTTTATTTTATAGACGTGCCAACTAGTTTAGCCCTAAGCTTTCCTATTTTCGTAAGGATATCAAATATATATTTCCTATGAGAGATGGAGATTTCCCCCTTTTGACATGGCTACTTCTATTCCAAGAAAGAACTTTAGCGGAGCTAGATCTGTGATTTCAAATTCTATCACCAGAAAACCTTTAAATTATTGAATTTCCTGAGAACTACTATTTACAATAATGTCGTCATCATCTAAGCCTTGTCCAAATTATTTGGGGTCCACTACATGAATCATGTTCCTTCATTCTTCTCTATCAAGGGCCATACCCTCCATAAAATCAAAAATCACCACATCTTTTCTCACTACTTTTATCCATGTCCTTGTGGGCATTTGCTTGCCCTTTTAGAGCCTTCCACTTGAACCAAATCTCACCTCCTAACCAGTTCTGTATTAGGTCTATGTTGCACATTGCTAGCTTACCTAAGTCTACTTTCCCTCATTGTATCGCGTATTGAAGCCACACTTAAGTTCCCTCGCATGTATTCATTATGAATTCTATCCTTTTTTGTCTTGCCACTCATCCATCTCAACATCTTCATCTCAACTATGCTCATCCTATGGATATGTTGTTTCTTAACTGCCCAACATTTTGTCTCATAAAGCATGGATGGTCTTACAACCGTCCTATATAACTTCTCCTTTAGCCTTAATAGTATATGTAGTGATCACATAAAACTCCGAATGCACATCTCCACGTTGCCCATCCAACTCTAATTTTATGTGTGACAACTTCCTCAATCTGTCCATTCTCTTGGATGATCGACCTTTGATATCAGAACAATCTCTTTTAGGTATTTCTTGACCATCAATCCTAACTACTTCCTCGTGCTTACTCTTATTAATACTGAACTTGCATTTCATATATTTTGTCTTAGTCTGGTTAAATTTAAAACTTTTTAGATTCTAAAGCATCCTTTCAACGTTCTTACTTTGCTTGACGCAGCCTCTAGTCTCATCAATCAAAACTATGTCATCTGCGAATAACATACACTACGATACCTCAAGTTATAGGTGCTTGGTTAACTCATCCATAACCAAAACAATGAGATACGGGCTCAACGCTGACCCTTGGTGTAAGCCCATTGTCACTAAGAACTCACTTGTCTTTCTGTTAGTTATCCTGACACTAGTTACCTTCTCTCATACATATCTCTCACTATGTCAATATAGCATCTGATGATTCCTTTCTTTTCCAATACCCACCAAATTAAATCTCTAGATATCCTATCGTATGCTTTCTCTAAATCAATAAAGACTATGTGGAGGTCTTTTTCCTTTGCCCTAAAGTTCTCAATCAGATGCCTAAATAGGAAAATGACTTCGTTAGTTGACTTCCTTGACATAAAAACAAATTGATTTTCTGATACACTCATTTCACGCCGCAGTTGTCGCTCAACCACTATCTCCCACAGCTTCATAGTGTGGCTTATTTAATCCCTTGATAGTTCATACAATTTTATGTCTCTTTTGTTCTTGTAAATAGGTACCATAGTACTTTTGATCTGTTTGTTTGGCATTTTGTTTGTTCTCAACACCTTGTTGAACAACATGGTAAGCCAGCATATGCCAAACTCCCCCATGAACTTTCAAACCTCTATCGGGATACCATATGAGTCCTAAAGCCTTTCGTATCTTCATCTTTCTCAAAGCTTCTTTCATTTTAGATATCCTAATTCTGCGAATGTAACTATGACTTCCGCCCTCATTTATGTCAAAGGTTCCTCCTAACGTTGTGCTCCTATAGTGTTCGTTATTTAATAGTTTTTGAAAATAAATTCTCTACCTTCGTTGACCTCGTCATATTTCACCAGGATCCTATGTTCTTCACTCTAATGCATCTAATATGATTTAGATCCCCACATTTCCTCTCTTTGAATTTTTGCATGTTTGAATACATCTTTTTCACCTTATCTTATCCCCATTTTATTGTATAAATTATTATATACTTTAAGTTTAGCCTTACTATTTCCTTAGCTTTTTTATATTCATCTAAGTTGTGATCATTTCCACTCCATTGCTAAGCTTTATAACAAGGTCATTTTTCGCTAATAGCCTTCTGAACCTCCTCACTCCACCACCAGGTTTCTTTGTTTCTTTTCCCTCTAGTTTCTCCTTAAGTTCTTTCTCCACTTTCTTAATACAGTACTTCGTGCTCAGAATTCCATTTTCTTTCTTTTATCAATTTATCCCCAAATAAGTCTATGTTCTCCTTTTTTAAATTCCACTACCTAGTTCTTGGACACCTATTAGTTTCACTCTTTCTCTTCCAGCTCTTTAGGAAGACATCCATAGCCACAAGCTTTTGTTGCATGGTCAAAACTCTTTCTTGGGATAACCTTGCAGTTTTTACATGATGGTTGATCTACCTTCTTGACTAGAAAGAAATCTATTTGGTTTTTATATGGTCAGCTTTTATAAGTTATTAAATGTTCATGTCGCTTTTAAAAGTAGATGTTTGCTATTATTGCTAGGTCATAGGCCACATAGCAAAATCCATGATAGCCTTAGCCATCTTTTTTCTTTCCCCAAAACCATATTCCCCGTGTACCCCTTCATATCCTCTACAACCTTTTCCTATATGACCATTGAGTCCCCTCTTAAAAAGGTCCTCTCTCCATTTGGTATTTCTTGGACTAGTCCATACATGTCTTCTCAGAATTGTCTCTTAATTCCATCCTCTAGTCCTACTTGTGGTGCATAGGCACTAATTACATTAGTTATTTCCTCCCCTAACACGAGTTCAATTAATAGGAGCCTATTATCTACTCGCTTGACATTAAGTACTTTACCTTTTAAATCTTTATCTACTATTATGCTTACTTCATTATTATTATTATTATTTTCCATATATCAAAGTTTATATCCATCAATTTCCATAGCTTTTTTCCCCTTTCCATTTAGTTTCTTGTAGATAATCTATGTTAACTTTTCTGCGTCTCATTGTATCCGCTAACTCCATGCTTACCTGTTAGCGTTCCTACATTCCATGTGGCTAGATGGATCTTACTCTCTTGGAGTAGCTTCTCTGCTTGCACTCATCCACAATGACACTGGAAACCTTGCCTACTTATCACCATAACCGGGTGTTGTTGCTTAAAATAATGTCTTCCTCATATACAATCAGGACTATGGTTCTGGTCTTGGTATGCTTGATGAATAAGGTATGGTCAGCATGACTTTGAGTATAACCGATTCTTTGAACGACACTATACCTCTCAAACCAAGCCATGGAGATTGGTTTAGTCCATATATGACCTTTCTCAATCTACATAGGTTTCCTTCACATCTAGGTGCATGAAACCCTAGTGGAGGTACCATGTACAGTTCTTGTAATTCTCCATGAAGGAATGCATTCTTGACATTCAATTGATGCAACGGCCACTAGTTAGCTGCGAAAGACAATAGTACCATCAACCTTGTGCTTCATTGTGTAGACCCATTTGCGGCCAACGAACTTCTTCCATTTGGGAGGATCTACCAGTTTCAAAGTACCATTCGTAAGTAATGTCCTCATCTCCTCACACATAGCCTTCTTCCACTTAGGATGAGATAAAGCTTTTATAACTCTGGAAGGGATGGAAACAAACGACAAAAGAGGACACAAAAGCATGGTAGGAAGGAATCATGGCTCACAAGGAACAAAATTGTAAATTGGGTGAGCAGTGCAACCTTGTTTCCCTTTGTGTAGGGCCATGAGCAGATCCAATTGATCACACTGAGAACTCATCGAATTTAGGATTACCAGGAT